TAATATTTCTTTTCTTCCTTTTATCGAAATAGGGAAAAACAACAGATGCGTATGTGGTTCGCACGCGATGCAAAAAAAATATTTAATGAGCAGCTCCTATTGGTCGTTCGTCCAGGGATGCATTCGTTTGCTGACCTCTCACAATCTTCCAGTCTTTACGCGGATATTTCGTGATACTACGTTGGGCTGTCATTCGACAAATACACATTTAGGCAAAATTATATTACTCTTTTTCCTTTGCACGTATTTTTTCTAGTATACTCACATATATCTTGGTGTACTCGTTAGTACACAAACGACATATGTATTCTTGATATATGCGGAGAGAGCAAGGAGAGATACAAAGTTATGACGTGTAAAACTACAATTAATCGTACGACAAAATTTGTGCTCATCCTGTTCGGTATCTGGCCAGGTATATCGTGCATTACGTTGTGCAGAATATTTTGGACCGTCACAATAGTAATCGTTCTACTTTGCCATTATCTATATTTCTTGACACATTATCATTCTGTCGACGTGTTCGACTTGATGGACTGTTTTAGTAGTTTCATAGGATTCTTGAAATTAATGATCAAGGTTCTTTTCTTTTGGTTGAATCAGCGGTAAGTAGCGCGATACACAGTTAATAAAGTAAATAATATGCGAGAATATATTATAATAAGTATATTATTCTGTGTTTAACAGTAAGACCGTTATTTTATTCCATATATATATATGAATTTGCGTTTAATTAAAATGTAAACTATCTGCTTGAATTATATATGCATGAATTCGTGACATTTATTAAATTTAAAAGTTACGTATTCTACTTATATTTTAATATTCTTCATATGCTCCCTTTCTTTCTCGCATTTATCGTTGTGCTCAATTTCAAAACAAAATTAATAAACTAAGATTTAAATGTGCGATGGTCATTAAATTCGCAACGTATGCAATCATGTGTAGAATATTCAATAAAATTTTAACGATGATGGCGGAAGATTGGAACGATAGCGCCAAAAGTAATATGGAGATGCAGGAAGTAGTAAACAAAGAAAAGATATCGAATCGTATTGCCAACGCAATCATTACTCTTCACACAGTTGTCGTGCTCTTATACGGCATCGGCATCATTCTGGCCAACGTCGACGTCACTGATCGTACGATCGAACTACCCCACATTTACAAAGCGGAAGTTCCTTCCATCATAAACACGCAATACACATATAGAGTCGTGTTAATTGTGGAATTGGTACATCTTATCATGTGTAGCTGGGGCTTGGGTAATCTAAACGCTTTACTGATAATTTTGGTGAGTTGCACACAAAAATATGTGCAATTAATAAACACAGACACATATCCATTATAATAATTCTAATAAAAATAGATTTAAAAAATCAGTAGATAACTTAATTGGTACATATTTTTTTGTCAAATAGGTCGGTTCTGTGCGTTTTGCCAAATTTATCCTTAATAATTGTTACGTTTTTTCTCGCTATTTGAATACGAATCTTCGTTTTACGAACGGTAATCATCTTTCTTTTTAGATCTTCCACGTAGGTGGTCAAATAAATATCCTGCATTGCTGGTTAACGGAGCTGATATCCAAAGAGAATAAACGTGAATCTATTGCCATTACGATGAAGAAAATTATTCGGAAACATCAGAAAATCATTTATTTCGCGAAAAATATTGAGAGCTTGTATACGTATATTGCGTTCATGCAATTTATATCAAACACGATAATGATTTGCCTAATAGGATTTTTAATCATAACAGTGAGTAAAATAAAAAATATATATTAAATATTATAAGTAGAAATAATTATATTTATTCTGCAAAATTAATTGTCACCTGATTAATCGCGCATCGTGTTTGCACCATTTTTTTACCTTATGGATTTTTTTTATATTTCATTGCGCCGATAGAAACAAATGCTTATACGTTGAATCATTTGTCGTATAACGTGTTTCGATATTGCAGGCGCTCAGCAATTCTAATGCGACAGAAAAGATAGTGAGAGCCGTTTCGTATTATAGCGTGACGAATATCGAAGCGTTCATATTCTGCTATGCTGGGGAATATCTGATAAATAAGGTTAGCGATAATTATAACGTTCTTGATTCTTGTCGAATGATTCTATGATTGTCATGCAAAGATTACGATAAAAATCAAGAAAACCGTAATATATATATGAGATCTCTATATTATATTTTTATCTTCATTCAGAGCAAGGCAATAGGATTAGCTGCGTACAATATCGCCTGGTACAACTTGGAGCCTGAATACAGTCGTATTTTGTTATTCATGATAGTGAGAGCGCAGAAACAATTGACACTTACAGTTGGGAAGATGACGGATCTCTCGTTACAATGCTTTGCAAGTGTAAGATTTCTACATATTATACAAAATAAAGTTTGTGATCCCAACATCTATATAATAATTATCGTAATACGTATATATTTTCTAAATTTATATATTTACTTATTTGTTTTCCCTCCTTCATTACATAAGTTCTTTAAAATACATTCTTGCAGTAATATCTTAAATGTTCAAATATTATTGCCTCATATATATATATATATATATATATATATATATATATATATATATATATATATATATATATATATATATATATATATATATATATATATATATATATATATATATATATATATATATATATAATGGTAGTATATTAAACTCTTTGACGCATACGTTGTTATAGATTATGAATTCTGCAGGATCATACTTATCGGTATTATTGGCGACACAATAAAAACATCATATCCATATTATAGTGCTTGTATAATAAAACAAAATCGAATATAATATGTAAATAGTTCGGTAGAAAAATACGTATCACACACTACACAGGCTATTTTTAGAAATATATTCGCTAAAATAAGAATAATTTAAATAGCGTAGTATAAGCATTCTAAATTATCCAAAAATTAAATACAATGTACATCTAGTTAAAGTCAGATAAAAAGAAGAAAAATCGCGGAAGAAAATTAATATTTGTATCGAAGCGTTCATATTCTGCTATGCTGGGGAATATCTGATAAATAAGGTTAGTAATAATTATAACAATCTTGATTCTTGTTGAATAATTCTATGATTGTCATGCAACGATTACGATAAAATTCAAGAGAACCGTAATATATATGTAAGATTTCTATATTATATTTTTATCTTCATTCAGAGCAAGGTAATAGGATTAGCTGCGTACAATATCGCCTGGTACAACTTGGAGCCTGAATACAGTCGTATTTTGTTATTCATGATAGTGAGAGCGCAGAAACAATTGACACTTACAGTTTCTAGTTAAAGTCAGATAAAAAGAAGAAAAATCGCGGAAGAAAATTAATATTTGTCGAATAAATACCTCTCCAATATTGACACTTATTAAATCATTTCCTACAATATGTCACACAATATACTTCAGTTTCATTTTATAATGAACATCTTCACTTTTATCAGTCTCGAAATTCAATTATTGATTCCTTGCCAAATATTGCTATAGCATTCAAACGAATATTACATAGTTCGGATATTAAATAGAGAAACATACATGTATACATGTATACATGTTTTGTGGCAATTTAATTTTATGTTCTTTGTTCGAAGTCTTTTCATCCACTAGATTTCTAAAACTTTTCTAAAGATCTCCGGGACGTGATTCACCATCGGACATACATCGCCCTGTCGATGTCCTGCATAAATCATTGCATATTTAAAGCAAGAGCAATTCGCGATCACGATACCGATGCTCGAAAAGAGGGAGGAAAGTAATATTTCTTTTCTTCCTTTTATCGAAATAGGGAAAAACAACAGATGCGTATGTGGTTCGCACGCGATGCAAAAAAAATATTTAATGAGCAGCTCCTATTGGTCGTTCGTCCAGGGATGCATTCGTTTGCTGACCTCTCACAATCTTCCAGTCTTTACGCGGATATTTCGTGATACTACGTTGGGCTGTCATTCGACAAATACACATTTAGGCAAAATTATATTACTCTTTTTCCTTTGCACGTATTTTTTCTAGTATACTCACATATATCTTGGTGTACTCGTTAGTACACAAACGACATATGTATTCTTGATATATGCGGAGAGAGCAAGGAGAGATACAAAGTTATGACGTGTAAAACTACAATTAATCGTACGACAAAATTTGTGCTCATCCTGTTCGGTATCTGGCCAGGTATATCGTGCATTACGTTGTGCAGAATATTTTGGACCGTCACAATAGTAATCGTTCTACTTTGCCATTATCTATATTTCTTGACACATTATCATTCTGTCGACGTGTTCGACTTGATGGACTGTTTTAGTAGTTTCATAGGATTCTTGAAATTAATGATCAAGGTTCTTTTCTTTTGGTTGAATCAGCGGTAAGTAGCGCGATACACAGTTAATAAAGTAAATAATATGCGAGAATATATTATAATAAGTATATTATTCTGTGTTTAACAGTAAGACCGTTATTTTATTCCATATATATATGAATTTGCGTTTAATTAAAATGTAAACTATCTGCTTGAATTATATATGCATGAATTCGTGACATTTATTAAATTTAAAAGTTACGTATTCTACTTATATTTTAATATTCTTCATATGCTCCCTTTCTTTCTCGCATTTATCGTTGTGCTCAATTTCAAAACAAAATTAATAAACTAAGATTTAAATGTGCGATGGTCATTAAATTCGCAACGTATGCAATCATGTGTAGAATATTCAATAAAATTTTAACGATGATGGCGGAAGATTGGAACGATAGCGCCAAAAGTAATATGGAGATGCAGGAAGTAGTAAACAAAGAAAAGATATCGAATCGTATTGCCAACGCAATCATTACTCTTCACACAGTTGTCGTGCTCTTATACGGCATCGGCATCATTCTGGCCAACGTCGACGTCACTGATCGTACGATCGAACTACCCCACATTTACAAAGCGGAAGTTCCTTTTATCATAAACACGCAATACACGTATAGAGTCGTGTTAATTGTGGAATTGGTACATCTTATCATGTGTAGCTGGGGCTTGGGTAATCTAAACGCTTTACTGATAATTTTGGTGAGTTGCACACAAAATTATGTACAATTAATAAACACAAACACATATCCACGTTATAATAATTCTAATAAAAATAGATTTAAAAAATCAGTAGATAACTTAATTGGTACATATTTTTTTGTCAAATAGGTCGGTTCTGTGCGTTTTGCCAAATTTATCCTTAATAATTGTTACGTTTTTTCAACTCACTATTTGAATACGTATCTTCGTTTTACGAACGGTAATCATCTTTCTTTTTAGATTTTCCACATAGGTGGCCAAATAAATATCCTGCATTGCTGGTTAACAGAGCTGATATCCAAAGAGAATAAACGTGAATCTATTGCCATTACGATGAAGAAAATTATTCGGAAACATCAGAAAATCATTTATTTCGCGAAAAATATTGAGAGCTTGTATACGTATATTGCGTTCATGCAATTTATATCGAACACGATAATGATTTGCCTAATAGGATTTTTAATCATAACAGTGAGTAAAATAAAAAATATATATTAAATATTATAAGTAGAAATA